GCACGCTATCTCGGTCTCTCTCTAAACCTCTCTTTCTTGCACGCTATCTCGGTCTCTCTCTAAACCTCTCTTTCTCGCGAGCTCTCTCTCTCTTTCTCTCTCTCGGCTGTGTCAACCGCCGACGTGAGTCAGATGTGGGTCAGCGTCACCTACCGGGCGTGCCGACTAACAATAAGTTTTATTTGAGGAGTGGCGCCGCTCGGTGGATATACTTAAGCGACGCCGTCAGCGATAACAATACTGGCAATAATACTAAAAATCTTTTTCATACGTGTTCATTAAAACAGTTAGCGGTTCAGCAGGGTGAACAATGAGATATATGTGCCGTTTATTATCATATGACCCCTATTGGGAGCTGGCGCAACGAACATTTGATGAGGTGCATGGCAAACGTCAACATTTATATATCCGGGGTGTATGAAATCAAACTGCTTATATGCTTGATTGCTATAAAATCACTGCTGGAGTGCTCCTGTCGTGGCAATGCTATGGACGGTCGGCCAAGGTGAACAAGATGATTGATTGTTATATAAGATGACAATTTGTCATGTTATATGGGGTTCTGGTTTAGGAACACCGATCGCACATGTAGGTCATTGTACACGCTCGTACATTCAAAACGAATTTCTCGGATCGTTTTCCAGCAATTACGCTCCACGGATATATATTTAAATAAAAATGTTTACATAAAGGCTAAAATTTGATATTTAACGTGCGCGCGTGTGTGTGTCTGCGTGTGTGTGTGTGTGTGTGTGTGTGTGTGTGTGTGTGTATGTATGTGTGTGTGTGTGTGCGCGTTTATGCGTGTGTGTGTGGGGGGGGCGGGTAGTTTGTGTGTGTGTGTGCGTGCGCGCGCGTGTGTGTGTGTGCGCGCGTGCATATGAGTGCGCGTGCGTGTGTGTATGTGTGTAAATAAAACACGTCACATTAGTTCCGTATTTGCTCTAACAAGCCAGTTAACCTTCTATATCAGAAATTAGACTAACAACGACATCCACACACGAGGTCGTACCTAGTTCATTCTGCTAGATTAATACGTTCAAATTGTATATGTATATAGGCGACACCGATACTGTCGCAATTATGTTAGATGCGCATACCCTGTACCATCGCTTCATGGGCACAAGCAACCATGCATGTGTGAATGCCTGCACTAGGTTACCATGGTGATAGCGATGCTCGATATAAATGTCTAGATAAGTTATTGATGATATATTTTGTACATAGTAGGTGGCGCTTAATAATCACTGTAACGTACCGGTAATAAATAAGTAAATAAATAAATTAACTAATAAATAAACAAATAAATAAATAAATTAATTAATTAATAATTTTCGCCTCTTGTTTGTCGTCTGCAGTGTTTCACGGCTGAGCAACTATGGGAGGTGTTCGATTACCCGAGTTCTTATAGACTTTCGGAGACAGACTTCATAGAAGCGTGCCCAGCACTTCTGCAACAGATCGTCAGCAAATCCTGCGAGAAAAAGACGGAAACAGAAAGCAACCAATACACTCCAACCAAACTCGAAGGTATCTAATATAATTATACACACACACACACGGTCGCACACAAACACACACACACACACACACACACACACACACACACACACGCATACGCACGCACGCACGCACGCACGCACACACACACACACACTATATAGTAGAAAAAGGGAACAAGAGAATAAAGAGAGTGAGAGAAAGAAAGAGAGTGAACGAGATAACGGGAGAGGAAATTGAGAGGGAGAGGAAGTGCGAGCGAGCGGGAAGGAGAGAGGAGCGTAGGGGGGAGAAGCTACACAATGCACCTAACAATGACACCATATCGAACAGGATAATTAGGCTGTTTAGGTGGATAAGTGTTCTTTACGTTGTCACCACCGGATACTTGCAACACGGTTATTACCCTATGACTGTTGTTACCAGGGGCAGCTGCCGTGCGAAATTACTACCAAAGTAACAATCGTGTTTAGGAAAATTGTTGACAACATGCGAGTAAAGGGATAGAGAGGAGCAGCAAGCAATAGGGAGAATGGGCAGGGTTGAGCGAGAGAGAAAACAAGCGAGTGAAAGAACGGGAGAGGCGAAGAGAGAGAGATAGAGGGGAGGGAGAGCGATAAAGTGGGAGGAGGTGATGTTTTCAGTCGATACATACGTCTTGTGATCACGACTGCGTAGTAGAGGCTGTAGTAGTTGCACCAAAATTTTCACCAATTAATAAAATCCATCTGTCAATGTTCCGATAACGTTGTTGCAAATTAGATAAGGAACTATTTCCGTAGTTGTCATGAACACATCGCGTCAGCGAGTTTATATGTATACACGCCTATCATATATTTATAACGTGTTACTATATATATATATATATGATGATATCTAAGTGTAATAAATTTAATCGCGTCAGTTTAAAAAGGTATCAAGTTCGCCGCAACCGTCAACTTGTGGTGCCGCGGTGCAGAGCAAATCATTTAATATTAACAGCCATACTATAAGCTAAAAAAACAAAACACGACACAAACAAACATGAGAGAAACGACAATGCTACCCTTTGAATTATCGCCGCAAGGCACAACAACAACAGCAACAAATTGTTCTTAATTTTTTTTGCCCAACTTCTTTTCCAGCGTATGGATACGGAGCTCTGGCGATCCTCGTGATCAGTCTCTTGTCGCTGATTGGTGCGATTACGATCCCCTTCATCAGTACTGTCTCCTACCATTACATCATGATGGGTTTCATTGCTCTGGCTATCGGCACCATGGCTGGGGACGCTCTGCTTCATCTAATACCACACGTGAGTAGAATTCTTTCTCGCGGCCGTGGCTCCATCGCGTGGCCGGCATAATGATCATGCTTGGACGAGATGGCTTTCCTTGACAACCAAAGGCTTGGCGTTCAAGCAGCATCGTTTGCCTTTTAATTTTGTATTATTGGTTTTTTTATTTACCCCGTTATTAACTAAATCCTAAATTCTCCCCAATAATAGTATTCGTCATAGCAGTGATGATAATGATAATAATAATAACGACAACAACAACAATAACAACAATAACGTGTGCGTCTTTTTGTTAGTCGTTAGGTGGACATGAACACAAGGAGACAGCACATGGCCACGAAGATGAGAATGTAGATGGCAGCACGGCGCTAAATATCGTTATAGAACCCATGATTCTGAAGCTGCTGGCGGTCTTGGGCGCCATCTACGGATTCTTCGTCTTTGAGACATTAATGGAATTGGCCAAGGATTCGGTGCAAGGCCTCGAAAAGGTATTACATTAACATTTGCGAATCGCCATTTTGTTATTGTTGTTATTGACCACTTATTGACGCGTGAACAATTTGTCACGGTTATGAACAGAAGTTAATTACGTATGTGTGGAATGTGTTGAAAATTATCGGGTGAATTTTACTGGACTATTAACATTAATGACGCTAATCGATATGATTTGGCGGGGAAATTAAAGTCAGGCGATTTTAAGCAGCATATCGTAGCGTTTCATGCGCGAGCGTAAGAAACCGAGAGGCAGCCAGTAACCGTAAAGGTCGGGACGTATCAGGTTGCAATTAACTATATAACGGGGACACACCAGCACAGCGTTATTAATATGCCCGCGTGACCGTAGCTGAGTTTTTCGCGCTTAGTTGCTTGGCAAGACGCCGGACCACGCGCACGCCGGCGAGGAGGTGGCACGGTCACAGTCAAAGTTCCCGACGGCAGAGGGCATTGAGCGCGAGGCTAGTCCCAGTTCGTAAGACAGCGGACACAGTGCAGTGCGGCGGACCCGTTATCCTGAAGGCAGTACAGCACGCGTCGACAGAGCAGCAACATACAATGGGTGTGTCGCGACAAATTGGTGAGGGGGGGCCAGGCTGGTTCACGAGTCACTGATCTGACTATATACAATATATGTATAGATATATATATATCTTACTAATATGTATATATATGTATATTATATATAGTATATTTATGTATATATATATATATATATTATGTGTGGTGTGTATATATATGTATTATTAATATATAATATAAATTAGTAGGCTAATATAGATCAGTGTTCATCAATCAATGGGTATTTATGTTTGCGTACTGCATCTGGTGGCCTAACTGCGGCTGGTGCATTAATTCGGCTTAGAAGACCAGCTAGAACTTGACTATATTCTCGGAATACTATTTTAGGTTATTTACACAAAGGTTATCACGGCGAAATACATCATATCTCATAATGATTATGAAATTGATGAAGTATTGCGCATAATAGTGAACGTTGATCATTCGGTATCTGGTATTATTTCGTGGGCCTTGAGGTTTAAACCTATATAGCTCTCAGGCTTTTCTCATATTCTTCTTAATTTAATATCGAATTAATTAAATAAATGCATACAAGTTACAATACGCAGCGAGCGTTTCGCATGGCAAATTAAATTTTAGCATTTAATAATCTTCATAATTATTTGCGTTTTGATATCGCATTTTGTTATCTGGATTTTCTGATGTTTTCATATCAATTCAATTTTGCAACGATATATAAACGAATGTCGCGTTAACAATGTTCCCGTCGCTGTCTAGAGGACGTCGAGCCTGGACTTGTGCGAGGATGGCAGCACTACACACTCGACAGGCGCGTTTGTCCACCGTCGCTTCGTACGCGCAACTAACGGCGTAGCCGGCACGATGGCAAACTAAATAGCCGTCAAAGTTAAAACAAGGCAACACGGGAACGAGCACGGACAGTTTTGCTCATGTAGCTATGCGTTTGACTGATGCGTTTTTAGTTTTTCTTTTGCATGTACTTGTGAGTGGGAGGAATTATTCTTTGGCAGTTAAGCTCGAAGTGAAAAAAGAGGCTAAAACTTTACGTTCGATGGCGATGGTATGCATTAGTGAGGACGTCATTCGACGGCGAATAAATAGTGAATTATATATTTAATGTATAATTATTGATATACGTATTATATGAATAAAGCATTTAAAAATTAAATGAACGCCAATAATATCATAATAATCGATAAATAACGCGATGTAAATAAGTAAGATAAATGTTTTCAATTTTAAAAAAAAGAAGACGTAATTTTATTTTTTTTCGCAGGTTTCAAACGGTGGCGGCTGATGATCTCATGTGGTGATTCATGCACAACGTCAGCGATGGTCTCGCTAATTTGGCGCTGCTTCGCCGAAGTAGCCGAAGGGCGGAATGATCTACGTCATAGCCGTGCTATGGGCCACGAAGCTTCGGGACGAACTAGGTACTAGAGCTTGTTGGCTGGCTAGGCTGCGATTATATGACGACGTAAGGCGATAGCGTTGCAAATCCCTGAAACTCAATATCTAGGACAGAAATTGACGGCCCGCGTCTTATGGCGTGCGTATCGTATGCGTGTGTGCGTGATAAAGCATGCGTGTGTGTGCGTGCGTAGCGCATGCGTGTGTGGTGGCGCGTGTGTGGTGCGCGTGTGTGTGCGTGCGTGGCATGTAGGTGGGGCGGGATTTTAACAATTGCATGCTGGAACATACTTGTACGTGTAAACAGCCTGAACCTCGACAAACTATTAACTTTAACCTAGAGCCTCACACTTGACCCTTAAGCCATTAGAGCAATGACATTGACCCTGAAGCCAGACTTGGCGCTAGAGACAATTATGCCTTTGAACAAGGTGAACTTTGTTCTCTCGAGGTGAGCTTCGCTCTCTTCTGTGCTGTCTCAGGGCCAGTGAAGCGGCGTCGCGCTGAAACCTTGCTTGCGCTGCTTGGCACTGGCTTCGCTTGGATTCTGAGTCGGCGTATCTGACGCGCTGAGCCGAGGTGCGACAGTGGATCTTCGCGGCGACGGCGGCTATGGTTTCTCTAACATATCTGCTTGTAGAGATGGTGAGGCCGACACTGCTGATACTGCTGTTGTTGCTGTGATTGGCTGCTGCTGGTTGTTGTTGTTGTTGTTCGTTGTTGTTGTTAGTTGTTGTTGTTGTTCGGCTGCTGTTATTATTATTATTATTATTATTATGTAAATATGAATCATTGCTTAATCCTTAGCATGTTATACATATAATTTATTCACACCAGCACACACACACAACACACGAAACAACACACCGACACACACTACACACAGTAACACACGACACACACGCCCCCAGCAGCACGCGGCACCAGTTCGGCTCGCACGGCACGCACGCACTAGCGCACACGCACAGGGACAGAACACTGCACACGCACAGCACACGGCGCACAGACAGGCACACGCCGACACACCACACACACAACACACAAAACACGCACAACATCAGCACGCACACACAAGCACCACACAACACAACACAGCCACACAAACGCACACAGCACCAGCACACACACACACATATATATATATATATATATACATCATGTGTATATCTCTAACATCTTCTGCTGTTTCTTTCTCAGATGCCGGAGCTAAAGAATTACAAGGCGGATAGCACCGCGCTGAAGTGTGATTGTAAGGCAGAATGTGCATGGGCTGACCGGCATGGGCGCCATGTTGGTTATCGCAGTGTTCGAAGAACACATACGCATCGGTGGCCCAAAATGAGTCGTGTGCGTGCGTGTGTGCGTGCATGTGAATGCGCGTGCACGTGTCGTGTGCGTGCGTGCGTATGCGTGTGCGTGCGTGCGTGCGTGTGATAGTGTTGCCTGCGTACGTGCGTGCGTGTGTTATTGTGCCTGTGAATGCGCGCTGGCACGTGATGCATGGGTATGCGCCGTCGCGTGTGCGGTGCGTGGTGGTGGGTGCCGCTAGGTAGCGTGCGTACGTGCGTGGCGTGTGTATGTGCCTGTGAATGCGCGTGCACGTGTGCGTGCGTATGCGCGTGCGTGCGCGTGCGTGTGAGGGTGTGATAGCGTTGCCTGCGTACGTGCGTGCGTGTGTACGTGCCTGTGAATGCGCGTGCGTGTGAGCGTACGTGAGTTCTTGCTCGCGCACGGGTGAGTGAACGAGAGTGAGAAAGAGAGAGAGAGAGAGAGACTGAGAGAGAGAGAGAAAGAGACAGAGGGGAGAGAGAGAGAGAGGAGAGAGAGAGGAGAGAGAGAACCGAGAGAGAGCAGAGAGAGAGAGAGAGAGAGATACAGAGAGAGAGCAGAGAGAGCGAGAGAGAGAGAGAGGAGAGAGAGAACAGAGAGAGAGAAAGAGAGAGAGAGAGAGAGAAGAGAAGACAGAAAGAGAGAGAGTGGGACGGGAGTACAACGCGGTGAGAACGAGAGATGCGCGATTTAGAGGCAAAAAGCCACAAGAGAAAGAGAGAAGAGAAAGCATTTGAAAAGAGAAGAAAAAGAAGAAGAAGAACCAATCCAGTACGGCCATCACTTGCTGTTGGTGTATTGTGATCTCGCTATGTATAATCTGGGTGAGACAATCACATTCTACTAAGATGGGCATATATATATATGGAATGTACATCGGTTAATACGCGTGCTGCTCATGTGTTGTTTTGGTGACGTTGCATTATCTTGATTTATCAGCCGCTATCGCGATCATGCGCATGGCGCTGTAACCTATAGCTATCAGGACATCGAGCTCATAGATGAGCCTCGGTGATATATATATATATATAATATAATTGTGTTTTTAAAAACCAATAGCACTGCCGATCAGAAACCCATTTACCCTTTTTAAAGCAATTGATAGTAGGCGCTGTGCAGATGCTTTGTTGATTATATTATTCAACATGAATTATGCGATTCTGACTTTGGATAATATAAACCACGATACCATAAGCAATATGCCACAGTCGTCCTCTATGCGATCCTTGGGGGGGGGAATTTTTTACGATTCATGCGATGTTCTTTGCAATTGCAGTTTGTCAACACGCTTGCACACAGACGCTCTCGTGCGGTGGTTTAATGCAACTTGGCGATAATGCTTTTACTATATAGCAGCAGCACCAGCGCGAGTCGCAATCCCGTATAATGTATAATGTATGTATAAATGCAGGAGTTTAATGAGACATTTGTCCTCTATGAAGCTCCTGGTATATATGTGTATGAATGCAGGCACGGCATTAATAATTATATGCTATGCAGTAAGTGTTGTAGATACGGCACACATGTAATAATGACATTCTGCTGGTGTATATAGCAGCATACAATACGCGAATATGTAAATAGTTTTGTATACGATTGTTATCATTAACTTATTACGTGAGATGGCAGATTTTGCTGTTATTTAGTAACGATTTTTTTTACAATTGAAACTATTAACTATTGATTAATTAAATGTACTCACGCACGTGAT